AATAATTAATTAAATGTGTCAATAATTAATTAAAATGTGAAATACATTAATAATTAATTAAATGTGTCAATAATTAATTAATTAAATGTGTCAGTAATTAATTAAAATGTGAAATACATATTTTCATTATGGCAGTCCTGGCGTTCCATACACACAGTGATATTTGAGAAGTGGAATGAAGTTTATTGGATTTACAGAAAGTGTTCAATAATTGTTTAAACAAAAAACAAAATTGTTTAAACTTTTGCATCCCACTGTACATGCCCAGCTTAAGGAAACTACAGCAGTCTATAACAAAATATTGTTCTTTCCACAACGCTGGATGAATGACGATTTCCTCATAACTTCTCTGGTTTAAAGATAACTTCCTGTTGGAATAAACAATAACTTATTCGTTGCTTGTTTGGAGTACAGTACATTTGCTAAATTTCCTTGTTTCTTTTTGTTTTGTTGTTTATCGTTTCCTCTTTTCCTCTTCATAGTTTAATGGGGTTTCACCTGCTTCTTGTTAGTTCCTTGTGTAATCATTCACATGTCGGTTGTTATTGCAGTGTATTGCCAGTGTAATGAATTGTATTAACTAACATATCAGAAAAAGCTTAAACTATTAACATTTTTTCGTAATTCTGCATTAATAATTCTCATTAATAATTCTCATTAATAAAGTTACTGACTCCAAAGATCAAACAGGACATACAATAAGACAAACTGACATTTTTTTTATTATTATTTATGTCACGATCCTGGGTCTTATGACCCAGTGTTTTGAGTTTTAGTTCATTTTGATGTTTTAGTTTATGTAAGCCCTTCAGGTTCCTAAGTTCATTTGTTATCATGCTTAAGTGTTTCTAGTTCTTATTATTTCCCCCTCGTGTTTCCAACTATGGTAAATCTCCCCTCCTCTTCATGTGTTTCATGTCTGTGTCTTACATTGTGAAGTTTGGGTTGTCATGTCTACGTCTCATTATGTTTCCTGTTTTATTTTGAAAGAGGTCCTGTGTTCCTGCATTTTGTTTTACTCTTCCCCTGTGGCATTGTTATGTTCATGTTGATCTACTGTGCCTTTCTGTTCCATGTTTCAGGTCCCTATGTTCTGTCTCCCCCAGTCTGTTAAGTTTACATGTCTTGAGTTCCGTCAGTGTGTTCCCTGTTTTACTTTCAAAGTCTGTTCTATGTTAATGTTTCTAGTTTTGCTTCCCTTGCCTCGTCCTGCCTAATTACTCTCAGCTGTGCTCTCCTCCTGTGGCTCATTCCCCCTCGTTATCCCTCAGTGTATTTAAGCCCCATGTTTCTCTTTGTCAGTGTTGCGTCCTCCATCATAGCTGTGTGATTTTTCCCTGTGGCTCCCTCCTTGTGCTTTAGTTTTCCCAGTTTAGTTTATTTTGTATTGTTTTTCGTGTCCCACTCCACACCAGCAATAAAGCTGTGTTTTTTGAGTTTACCTTTTGTCTCTGTGAGTTTGCGTTTGGGTCCTACTTTTGCCTGCACACAGCCGTATTGTGACAATTTAGTTCACAATTTAATTTATATACTAGCAAAAACTGGTTGTAGCACTGACAGGGACCCTTTGTGAAATCACCAAAATGTTATCTGTACTGTATATAAACCGAATCACGGGAAGAAAAACAACCCCCTTTGTCTTTTTTTTGCTAAAGAACAATTGATGAAGAAGCTGAATACTGCTGAGAAACCACCAAGTCAAAGTCCCGACCTTTCAGTGGAATTTTGCAGCAGCTGAAGTACACTCAACAAAAATATAAACGCAACACCTTTGTTACTGCTCCCATTCCCCATGGGATGGACGTAGAGACCTAAAATTCATTCCAGATACACAATATAACCATCCCTCCCAAACAGTGGTCACAAATCAGTCCAAATGTGTGGTAGTGGGCACATCTGCCATATTGAGATAATCCATCCCACCTCACAGGTGTGCCACATCAGGATGCTGATCTGACATCATGAGTAGTGCACAGGTGTACCTCAGACTGCCCACAACAAAAGGCCACCCTGGAATGTGCAGTTTTGTCTCACAGCAAAATGCCACAGATGCCACAAGCAATGAGGGAGCGTGCAATTGGCATGCTGACAGCAGGAATGTCAACTAGATCTGTCGCCCGTGCATTGAATGTTCATTTCTCAACCATAAGCCGTCTCCACAGGCGTTTCAGAGAATATGGCAGCAAATCCAACCGGCCTCACAACCGCAGACCTCGTGTAACCACACCAGCCCAGGACCTCCACATCCAGCAGGTTCACCTCCAAGATCGTCTGAGACCAGCCACCCAGACAGCTGCTGGAACAATTGGTTTGCACAACCAAACAATTTCTGCACAAACTGTCAGAAACTGTCTCAGGGACGCTCAACTGCATGCCCGTCGTCCTCATCGGGGTCTTGACCTGACTCCAGCTCGTCGCCATAACAGACTTGTGTGTGCAAATGCTCACATTCGATGGTGTCTGGCACGTTGGAGAGGTGTGCGCTTCACGGATGAATCATGGTTCACATTGTTCAGGGCAGATGGCAGCTGAGAATGTCCCAGTTCTTGCATGGCCAGCATACTCACCGGACATGTCACCCATTGAGCATGTTCGGGATGTGCTTGACCGGCGTATACGACAGCGTGTACCAGTTCCCACGAATATCCAACAACCTCGCACAGCCATTGAAGTGGAGTGGACCAACATTCCACAGGCCACAATTGACAATCTGATAGACTCCATGTGACGATGTGTTGCACTGCATGAGGCAAATGGTGGTCACACCAGATACTGACCGGTTCTGGGTCCCCAGACCCCCAATAGCGCAAAAAACTGCACATTCCAGGGTGGCCTTTTGTTGTGGGCAGTCTGAGGTACACCTGTGCACTACTCATGATGTCAGATCAGCATCCTGATGTGGCACACCTGTGAGGTGGGATGGATTATCTCAATATGGCAGATGTGCCCACTACCACACATTTGGACTGATTTGTGACCACTGTTTGGGAGGGATGGTTATATTGTGTATCTGGAATGAATTTTAGGTCTCTACGTCCATCCCATGGGGAATGGGAGCAGTAACAAAGGTGTTGCATTTATATTTTTGTTGAGTGTAAGAAGTTCCTCCAACATATAGGGGTATACACTGGCTGATCATAGTTTGGATTAATGTAATTGTTGCTGCTTCTCGGCAGACAGGAGACATGATCTGTTTGGCTGGAGATCTGCTACAGAAATGAAATATACACTGTAATTTTAATAGGTTATCCTACCAAATTCCTTTTATTCATTCATCCATTCCTCAATTGATTAAAACCTCCAGGAACAAACATTTTGGCCTCAATGTTGAACTGAGAAACTTTTGAACACTGAATGAATGACAGTTTCCTCATAACATCTCTCCCTGTTATCTTCTATCGTATCTTTTCCTTGTTCCTCCTTTATCGTTTTTGTAGTTTAACTTATTCATACTGCCCCGTGTAATAGTCTAGTGTTCTGAAAGGTAGTTGCCATCATAACCTGGTCCTGTAAATCCTAAACCATGAAGTCATGATGAGAAAATTGATTTTTTTTTTTAAACTTGAACTTTCTGAAAAACTCATCTCTAGAATAAGATTTTTTTTAATTAAAATAAAATCTTCATTCCCTTAGAAAAAAAAAATCAATGATATGAGTAAAATTGAAAGTGAAATTAGACCTGTAATTCAAGTGCAAGGCCTTAATCTGTTTATTAAAATCTGATCTTTCACAACAGGTTTAAGGAAGTGTATGATCACTAGCACTGAGGCAGACAATAGATTGAAAGGTGTTTTGTTGATCCAACTGGCTGAGCAGGAAAACAATTTCATGTTTCATTGCTCATCTTTTGAACGAAAGCAATACAGTGTTAATACCTACTGAAAAGCATTGCTTTTATTTATTATTTTTTACTTTTATTTATTTTTCTATTTGCAATAAAAGCATTAAAATGCAACTGCACTGATTCTGATTTCCAATGAGATCCTGCTCAGTTTGTTTCTGGTAACCTGCAGCTGATGCTCAGTCACACCTGTATTGAAATATGACCTTGACCAAAATCTTTACCAGCAAACACAATGAAACACTTCAAAATGCAGTGCAGATTGATTTTGTGTATATTCTTGGTGTAGCTAATTAATGTCACCCACAAAGCATCAATGGATTAGGACTTATTCTGTGCAGAGACACAGAACGGCAGAGATTTTAAATGAACGAATGAAATGAAACATTGAAAAGGTTGAACATTGTTGACAGATGCACCTTAGAGGACACTCCCACAAGTTCTGCATAAAAAGAGAAATCGGTTTTGAGTTGTTAGATGAACAGGGAAGTTCTTCAGAGTAAGATCTTGGCGTCATTAGCAGAGGTAAGATAGATAACACTGACAGTTTCTGCACTGAAACTGATCGTAGATAGAGGACACATTTGAAATTACTTCTCATAATATCTTTTGGTTAATATAATTTTGTTCCCATCAGGATTTTTCTTCTTTCAAGAGTGAAAATGGGCGATTATGAGGTGATCATTTTCACTGGCAATGTCTCCAATGCCTCCACTTTTAACAAGATCTACATTAAGCTAGTCGGCACAGATGGAGAGAGTGAACGCACACACCTGTGGAGCTGTGTGCCATCTTTCTACAGGGGAGCAGTAAGTATGATACTCAGTTACTTTTTTTATATATATAAACTCAATTCACAATAACAGTCACCTCCAGGTAGTCTCTATTTTAAGGTAAAGAGCATACGACATTAGAGAAAACCACAACAAACAGATAATCTGCTATGAGCAATATAAAGGCAGTAGGAAATCAACTCCCTTATAAAAGTTAAAAGTCTTCCAGAAGAAGCAAGTTCAGGGAGAGGCAGCCATCTGGAAGTAAGTTATTACTTGGAAGTAAGGTCAAAGAAAAGAGAGCATAGGGAGAGTGGATGGAACACAAACTGTGGGAGACAAGACAAAACCTGAGAGAGCTTAATAAATAGTGGTTTGATTACAGCCACCTTAAAAGTCTGTCGTACATAAACTCAACTACAGTTAGTCACATTCTGGAGTTTTTAATCAATTTGGCCGTGTTATTCGAAACAAGGCTCTACTTTCCACAGTGGGAAGGGTGGTATCCTTCCTAATCAGATAAAATATTCTCCACAGGAAAATGGATGTTTAAATTTGTGCCATGGTTATATGAGATTACATCGTGATTTATAGCATTAAATACTCTGAAACTGAAATGTACATTTTAATTTTGCCTGTATAGTAACTGCACTGTGATTACTAGGAGGTAAAGACGTATGATAAAATACAATTGTCAGTTTAATACATGCTGACCTATTGTACATTTTTCAAAGGTATTCAAAGGTATATGCTACTTTTACTTCAGGTGTCACATTTTATTGTGTCCTGCCGAAAATCCCTTGGACATCTAGCACTGATAGAGCTAGAAAAAGAGAATCAGACGCTTGTCCCAAACATGGCTTGGTATCCTGCTAAGGTGGATGTGACGTCCCCTGAGGGAGGCAAATACAGCTTTCCTGTCTACCGCTGGATCACTAACAGCAAGCCGCACTACTTCAGAGAGGGAGCAGGTTTGTGTCAATGTTAGAAATGAATAAATTAAAAGCAAAAAATGATGTAGCTATTCATTTAGAAGAGATCATAAAGATTATAAAAATTAACTGAAAAATGACACATTAAGAAAGTCTTCTTTTTTTTTCTGCCTGTCTTCTTTTTTCTTTTTCTTTTTTAAATCTTTAAGAGAAATTTTATAGACAATAAAGAATTTGCTAATTGGATCTCCTCAGTGAGTGTTTGAGAGAATAGTTCCTGTCCACCACAAGACGGAGGAGCAAATCAGCAGCAAGTGTATTGCTCCTCCAGTTTTCCACCTGAAGACAGCGTTTACATTGCAATCTACCTTTGGTAGTTTTTTGGCCAGTATCTGTAACATTCCGGAGATTCCTCATTATTTTGACACGCCCACACACAAACTGAGTACACACTAAGTACACTACACGACAAAGTAAAAGTAAGAGTAAAAGTGCTGCAAGCACAGCAAAATTCTAGGAATAATGGAAATAACTTATATTATAATTTATCATCAACTCTGACCACAAACATCTGGAGTTAATTAAAACAAAAACAAACAATATCATGAAAACCAGCAGGAACATCTGCAACTGGTAACCAGAACTAATGAAACAGACCAAGCAGGTAGATCAAATCCAAACCGTTCTGTCTTTTAAAAGAATTTTTACCTTGTGTGTGTTTTTTCTAGCTCTCACAGCAATTGAAGACAAGCACAGACTTCTTAGCCCGTACAGTCGGGAACAGGAGCTTCTGGAAAGACGGAAAATCTACAGGTAAGAGATGAGAGCATCATGAGAACCAATAGAATGAAGGCCTGAAATCCTTCTCCACCCCTGGCTCGATCAGCTGGATGTAAATTTGTGAAATACCAAGATAATTTAAACACCACATAATATCTGCTAGAATTTGATGTGCATGGTCGAAGCATAGATGTGCATATACAAACAATTAGTCAGTAATGCCATTTGTTTTCTGTACTATAATCCCTTTCCACTACACTTAAGTTATTTTGTTTTTGTATATTTTATATGTTTTGCCTTTATCTTCTTTTCCAGCTGGGACAAGCAGGGCATCTCCCACCTGAAGGCAGACAGTGTTTTATCACTCCCCTATGACATCCGCTTCTCTTTGACTAAGACTGTGGAGATGGTCTACATTGGGGCCACAGGGTGAACCCCTCATGTCATATATATATATATATATATATGATTCTAATCATCTGAAAAAGCTACTGTGTTTTTTTCTAGACTGGGAAGGCTGGGACTGATGGGAATGCTTCAGTCTAACAAGTTTAATTGTATAGAGGATATTAAACAACTATTAAATGTCCACAAAACTCAGGTTTCAGGTAATGAACAATCATTAGACCATATTATATAATGTATAATAGCACATAAAGTAACATAGAATAAGTCATATTATTAGGACTCTGGCATTTATGTCCATGACATGATGAATTTTACTTTCCTGTTTTTTGCCTGCGGTCAAATTTTATGATATTAACAGTGGTTGAGAAGGATTGTAAAGCATTTTAAACACAGAGAAGTAAAATTATGTTTTATTTCTAGAATACGTCTCTCAACACTGGAAGGAAGATGCATTCTTTGGCTATCAGTTTCTAAATGGTACCAATCCCATTTTGATCCAACGCTGTACACAACTGCCCAATAACTTATCTGTCACGGATGAAACGGTTTTCCCTGATGGTCAGCATAATTTGGCAGAAGAAATGGAGGTTTATTTAATTTAAATTTCTATTAAATAAAGTTGACTGATATCTGGTTGCTCTTATTTGTATGTTGGTGAGGTATTTGTATTGGCAAATTTTACTTTGCAGTTGTAATACCCAGACTAAATGCATGGGGTCAAATAATTTGTCATTCCTTCTGAAATTTCAAACAGAAGGGTAACATCTTCCTGTGTGACTACAAGATTTTGGATGAAGTGGAGTCAAACACCATCAATGGGAACAAACAGTTCTTGATGGCCCCGCTTGTCCTACTTTGGAAAAACAATGCTGATCAGTTAATGCCAGTTGCTATTCAGGTGAGCTTAGAACTCAGACATTAATAACGTAAATTAACTGGTTCTTATATAGCACTTTTCAAGCCTACCTGAGCACTCAAATTGCTTTAGACAATGTGCATCTATTGTATATGGATTTTGTTTATCTTTTTCCTTCTGCATAGAGATTAGCTCTTGCTAAACCAATCCCTGTTGTTGTTGCCAATGTCTGTGCCAGAAAAAAGTTCTCAGTAGCTTTAGCTAGGGAATGAAATTAATAAGAATTTATTCCAATTCCAATATCAATATCACTCGTGGATTCCATTCATTATCAATTCTCTTATTGATTGTCTATCCGGTCTTTAAGGCTGACGTCATTAGTCGCGTCTGGGCCCAAACTCCGCTGCAGGTTCCTAAGTCAAAAGATCTCTGCAGCATTACTGAGAGTTTAAAAACTGTCTAAATTCATTCATCTTTAATAAAATGATCAGTGTTGCTGTTTTACCAGGTGTAATGATTAAGTTTAACATCCAGGCATCCATGAAAACTGAATTATTTATGAAATTTAACTGAAGTCGAAGTTAGCAGGGAGTTAGCTCGCTAGCTTCCATTTAAATATAATACACCATGTTCTGACTGAGAGACTTCTGAAAAAATTAAAACGTTACAGCTCTGCTATCACTCCCAACATAAATGACGACAGAAAACTAAACAGCAGTGGCGTTTGTAGGATTACAGAAGTTGGACTAGCAGGTATATAATGATGTGCTGCATGATCGCTAGCGACACAGCTATGTTAGCATAACATTAGCACAGTGAAGCTGGAGGATGAACACACTTTTTTCCACTCAATAAAAACCAACATGAGGGTCCCTGATGGTTAGGAACATATGTAATCGCATGGCAGGATGCTGTACACGGACCAAACTTCAGTCAGGGGAACAAGTGAGATAATCCATCCACAAAACAAGGTTAGTCATTAATATACTGCTGCATGGGCTGTGCTGTAGTTACATCGTAAGGTTTTAAAAAACTGAGCTTTAAAATGATTAGCGGAAATAAAAATAGAGAGAGGCCGACAGTGATCACTGACTGTTTTTAGGGGCTTGTTGAGATGAAATAGAACAAGATACAAAGCATTAAAATATGTTAAAAGCACAATAGCCCTATTAAAAGCAGAGTACTTTTGGACCGGAAGCAGGATTCAGCACATCATCGCTTAACGGCTGGATAGATTCTGGTTGGCTCAGCTTTGAGAATAACCACTATCTCTAAGCAGCATATCAAGGAATGTCTCAGGAATAGGGATGGGTACCGGTATCGGTTCTGACATAAATGGTAGTAACCAGACCGAAAAGCAGCGCACATTTCGGTGCTTTATTTCGGTGCTTTTTTTTCCTGAGATGTCATACACTTTGAATTCTAGCCAATCATTTTACGTTTCCGAGGATAGTAGGCGGGTCCAGGTACGTACGTTATTTTAGAGCGGAGCTACAGATTAAAAATGCCCAAGGCAAGCGGTCAAAAGTCTGGCTGTACTTCACAGCAAAATATGCAAACTCAGCAGCCTGCAACAAGTGCTTTAAGGTGATACTGTGATACTGTCAAAGGAGGTAACACCTCAAATCCGATGAAACACCTGGCGACGCATAGCGTTTTTTTTAAAGCCGAAAAATGCGCCGTATTTGATAGCGTGCTGCGAGACCTCACACCGAGCGCATCTACTGCACCCGAAGAGGAGAGTCCTGGCCCCTAGCCCTGCCAGTGTAGCAAAAATGACAACGGATGATAATGGCAGCAGCAGCCGTTCTTCTCTGTGTGAGTAGCTTAATGTTGTTCGTGTGTAATTTATGCTGAGTAGGCTAACCACATTATTAAATTAATGCATATAAGGTGAACTAGCAAACACAGTCGTAGTTACATGCAGCTGACTTCTTGTTTGATGGCAGATACTCCCTTCACCCTGGCCAAAAAGGCTAAAATGACCAAAGAAAAAGTGGAAGACAGTTAAACATGAGAGGTTTTTGGACAAAGTTTGTGTTTTTTCCATTGTTTAAGCACTGCTTCCAGCCAAGAGTGATACCATATATGCCCCATAGCTGCAGAAAAGGCTAACATTGTTATCTTTTTACAAAAAAAAACAGCTGAACATGAGAGGTTTTTGGACCAATTTTGTGTTCTCCATTCTTTAAGCACCGGCACCGTTTCAAAAGTACCGGTTTGGCACCGATATCGGATAAAACCTAAACGATACCCATCCCTACTCAGGAATATCATCTAACAATATCAATCTGAAGTTAAAATCTCATACACCTACACTAATCCTATCCTAATGAGGAGTCACATGTGATCTTTCTCTTAATATTTAGATATGAACAAAACGCCAACAACACAAAGCAAAGATAAAAACAGCAGACAGAAACTTAAAACAATCACAACAAGATCATACAAGATTCTCAAAATTCTCATCTTGTCAATTTAGCTATTGGGATTTATCTGTTAGCTTGTAGCATGGGAGCCAATGCAGCAGGGTCACACAAAACCGGCATCAAAGGAGATGGCAGAGATTTGTGGAGTGACTCTGCACATATTGCGATCTGTCTGTCCTTTCTTGGCCACCTGCCTCATTCAACCTAAAGAAAGTGCCAACCTCTAAATGTGGCGGTACTGGTAAGCGGTGTCTTCTGGACTCGAAGGTCCCCACATGCAACAACCTGTCACTGGCACTCTTTCTTTTTAAGTGATTTTAAACTCTGGTGCTGAATTTAATTGACAGTTCCCATATGGAAAAGATATATATAAATCTTATAAAGTTTGTATCTGTCTTGTGTGAAACTTGTATGAAAAGCATACAAGAGTAAAAACAGATATAAGATCCCTTGAAAAATTATATAATAAAACTTGTATGTTTTGGATACTTACTAAAACAATGTATGAAAGTAATGAGAAAGTGGCCACTTTCATGAGTAAATCACATATAAGTTTTTACTATTTCTTTTCCGTATGGGTTAGCTTATGAAACAACTCAGTACGGAGGTTTGGCCCTTGAGGCTCCTGTGGAAGTAACTGCCAGTTACTCCCCACCATCATCATCACAGGTTTTTTGATCAGCACGTTCTGTTTGTCACACTTCTTACAATTCACCATCCCTTCAGCCCCAAATTGGGTCCTTAAACCTGACTTAGAGACTGCAGATTTATCTTTAGTTCCCTAGTAATATTTTGACACAAACAGCAGTGGCTCCTTCCTCCACATGACCCCTAAGACTCTCGGCTACTAGTCTCTCCCCTTTCAATTATCTATAAATTACATTACAAGGGCGAAGAGACTGAAATCACAGTTCCCTCCATGCCTTAACACCTACATCACAGCCAGAGGATACGAAGGCAGACTTTTCTGTGACGTAGAATCATTGATTTGCCAACCAGGGAAAAGGAGGACTGGTACGATCCAGCGTGGATGGGGTTTACCTACCGCTTTCTGTTTTGCTTTTCAGGAACAGTTTGGCAGCTGGGTGTGACTGTGGTGTACATGGTTTCTCTGGCACAACTAGGGCCATTTGGTTCTGTCAACCTAGTGTATTTAAGTAGCAACGAGGCAGATATCCTACGCCTGATTGTTGTCTCTGCTCTGGTGGTTTTGTTGTGACTTGAATTTTGGGAAAGTGTCAATCTGCAGTTTCTACTTTTGCTTTTCGGCAGTCCTCCTTCCAGCTTGCCAGTTTTCCCAGGATCTTTCAGAAGAATATCAGCCATGACCCTTCTCCACTTTCATCAGACTGTCCTGCCACTGTAAATCCTGCACTGTGTGCTGCTTACCTGAACACCTCTATGCCTCTCACACACCACTACTCTTACCTTTATTCCTCTCTGCCTCAGCCACCTTTCCTCAAACTCCTCACACAAGACCTTTTTAACTTGACAAATAATCTCTACTCACCTTTAAATTCTTTCATTCAGTATCCAAATCTTTTCCTAGTCATGTGCTTTCCAGTCACTAACTGCCATTTCTCTGTCTCCCTGGATTATCAAAGATCCTCGGTCTGTTTCTTTCCTGCGCCTTTAATGGTTATTTTTACAGTAAATAAAGCTTTTCATTGCAGTTTGTGTTTGAGTTGGTCTGCTCAACATCTATAAAAGTGTTTGATGGTTAGCAGTTCGTAATGATTA